TTTTATATATCCCTCCATGGCATATTTAAGTCCAACTTGAAGGTCCATCTGTGTCCCAAATTGATCAGAAACACTTTGGAAGAAGGTTTTCACTGGCAGCTGTCATTGTAAGAGAGTGAGCAACTCCGTTTGTTTGTCCGAGTGAGCAACAGTAACTAAGGGGGGCGGGGCTTACCAATAGGTCAATTATCCGGTTATTGTGGCTGTGTGAATGGCAGAATAAAGAGATCGAAAGCTTTGAACGAACCGAAACAAGTGTTTCTCTAAAGAAAGAAAGACTGACAGAAATAAAGAAAGAACCGCCATCGCACTGGCGTCCCCTGCTGGTCAAGTACATGTAACTTACTCTCACTGTGAAGGTTCAAAATAAAGCTAGGAATGGACTATATTTTTGTTCGACCCGATACCATGTACTATTTACTTTGCAATGTATTAATTTTTAAATTTTAATTTAAAAATAATATTCTCTCATAGGGCGGAAGAATACAAAAATATTCAAATGTTGCTGGAATACAAAAATAGATATTTCTAAATAAAATGAGGAACATATTCATTGCCTTATAGCATATGTACATGCACAAAGAACATGCAAAATGCATATGAATCTGTAAAATCACTTAGACCAGAGCTTCATTAATAAATCTCAGAGAATAAAGCGAATGTATTAGCCTCATTCCCTAACATATTAGTCCCATTTCCTATTTAAATACACTTTATCTCTGAAAAAAGAAACGTTATACCAATAGCAGCAACAGAATATTTGTATGTATGCATGTGTGTGTGTGTATAAATATATCTATACGGTTTTTAAATAAATTGTTGTTATTTATTTTATTTTTTCATCTCTCCTCTGTATTCCCTCGTATATTCCATGTTCTTCGTTCTGTATTATTATTTTTTTTCTTTTGTATTGAATTATATTTCTGCAAAAAAAAAAAAACACTTGGAAACACGCTGTTGTATTCCGATATTGTATTGTCGTAAAGCTTCAGAATCGACTCGGGTCTGCCAGCTATCGTTAGTAACGTTACAGGGAGACAACGCCTGGTTGAGCTTTGCGCTCCGGCGACAACAAAAGAGCAATCATGACGAGTGTGTATTGATTTTTATTAATTGTGATGACATTATCTCAGCTTCTACTATTATTAATGGAAGTACTTTAATAGAAAGCCGATTACAGGAGCGGTACGATACAAGGCTAACTAGCTAACTTAGCTAGCTTATTCTGTGTGTAGAATCCACGAAATTAAATCACAAGATTAACCTGCTAAACAAGGCTAAATGCTGGTTTATGGTGACGTTAGTGATGATTAATTGTTTATTATGTATACACTACGACACGGAAAACGTTTTCTATATGTGTACTAAAAGTTAGTTTTTGTGTGGAAAGTTAACGTTTCACATTAGCAAACTTAAATTATATTGTCAACAATATTTTTTATTAGTAATGTCACCCGGCGAAATTCTTTATGGAAGGGTAGACAAAATGTTTCATAAGATCAGGAAGTTGTTTATTTTGTGATTTCGTAGATGGTTTTTCTCAGTGTTTCGTGCGGATGTTGTTATTGTTATGAAAGCTCTCTGGCGCCCTCTTTGCCACGTTGCCTCACTGCTACACATGTCTGTGTTGGTCATACTGTACTCAGATTAGGGTTTACAAGTTAAACGGTACAGCATCAACGTTCCTTACTTTAAAAATACACTTCCTGACACTGAATAGATTTGCCAGTTGCAGACTGGAGTTTTAAACGTGGTGTCTTGTTAATTCATGTTCCATCCTGTGTGCAATCTTTGTATATTCAAGGCAGTAAAGCATGAATAAGCCATTACGATTGATGTTATCTCTTGTCCTGCAGGGGGAAATCAGCGTGAGCTTGCCCGTCAGAAGAATGCTAAGAAGCTAAATGACCATACCAAAGGGAAGAGAAATGACGATGGCCTCTCAGCAGCTGCCCGTAAGCAAAGGTACAACATATAAAGAGAATAATAACAAATAGATATATTGAATTACGAAGTGCATCACACTGAATGTGAATATAATTTCTTTTTTTGTATTTCAGAGATGCTGAAATCATGCAGCAGAAGCAAAAAAAGGCAAAAGAGAAGGTGGACCCTAAAGGCAATTAACCAGTGGCTGGCGCTGTGACCGACATGGCATCCTGATTTTTTTTTTTTTTTTTGTCAAGAGAGTATCTGTCATTGTGTAGATGTGGAGACTTTGATTCTTTAATGTTTCATCCCAAACAGTACATAATGATTTGTGCTCAGCTGTTGAGGAGAGAGTTTCTTATGTTCAAATAATCAGAGCAAGCCCAAATAATGGGAGTCTCAAAAATGTTTGGACTTGCATTGTAATCTTGTATTTTTGTATCAAGTGCCCTTCTTAATAAAAAGTACATTTTAATTCACACCTAGCAATTTATCCCTATAATGTGGTTATTCCCATAATATGTGGATTATGATTCAGTGTTTTTAACCATTCACATTTTTTTTAATTTACTTTAATTTCTTTCCTTTTTTATACAAAATTAGCTATAGTGCTCAGATTTCTACAAACTACAACCAATTTACCAAATAACTTCTAAAGCAGCTACAATGTGATTGACAGCATTCAAATTATTCAGTGCACTTTTTGAAAAGATGTGTGATAAAATAAAGAAATATTTACCATATTAAAAAGCAGTGGTGGACTCTCAGGGCCAGCCGTTTTAATGGCATAACAGGTATATAAATAAATTTTTACTCATTTAACTTTATTTGCATTCTACTACTGATGTGAGATGTCAGTAACCTCGTTGTATACAATACGCTGGTGTTAACATAATGGGCTATAATGTATGATGACTATAGGGTGCCCTGCTTGTTAACAAATTGATGGCATGGACTTAGAACGCATATTCCACCATGCATAATACAATATTTGAACCTGTGTCACAAAAACAGGAATGTGTGGTTATGTGTATTACATATACTGTGAACACAGAAAATGTTTCTACTTATTTTTTGATAGATATCACTGAAATAGGTTCCCTAAGAAGCCACATGTCTCTATACACTCTGTAAACAGCAAAAAGAATCTGGCCATTCACTGGATGCTATTTTTAACTAATCAGATTTTGAGGCGCCATCCGTCTGACGATCATTTTGATTTGCTGAGACGTCTTTAGAGGGCGGGTTTTGCAGAGAGGGGCGGGACTTGCGAAACCGCTAACTGCATATTACAACAGTAAAATAAAGCCATATGTGACCCTGGACCACAAAGCCAGTCTTAAAGGGGTCATATGATGCTTTTTTAAAGATCATTATTTTGTGTATTTGGTGTAACAGAATATGTTGACATGCTTTAATGTTCAAAAAAC